TGAACAAATAATATATTGGATGTGTCGCGCTCCCTCAAAGTGAATGTTTACTTAGAAATATGTGATATATATAAAATAAATAAATCTAAATAAATATTACATAAATATTAATACATTGTGATATAATATATATTAAAAACTCCCAGTGCTGTAATTAATTGAATTGATTAAAAAAATTTTTTTATTGTACATAAAATTAATTTGTATAACATAAAAAATGTGCAAAGAAACCCTCCTTGCACCGTGATGTATATGTGTGCAAAAATAAATATGTGCAAATGTGCAAATGTTGCCCCAAAACACTAATGTAAGATAAATTTATATATAATGGAGTGTAATAATCAAATTGATATATAAAAAATAAATAACAATAAAAATAAACAGTAAATAATGATGGAAAACTGTGCAAACAATACTTCACTTATTGCAACAAAGGATAGTGATGTCAGCTGTGTATTACTTATCCTTTGGCTTTAAATGACATGTGATAGTCCCAATTAATTTGTGCAAATATATGGAAAGTATATTATTATTGAGGTAGTCTGTGGTTCTACTTTCCTTCCACTAGATGGCCTCCCAATTCCTTCTGGGTTATGAGGGCTGGATGGATGGATATAGATATCTCCCCTCGTGTTGTCCGGGGTCTATTTCCTATTACCTCTTCCTCCCCTGTATTCCTCCGGTTTAGGCCATAGAAGAAAAAAATATCCACATGGTGTTTTATCCTTTATAAAGGGGTTTAATGCGTTTCCAGACAAATGCGAACTCACATTCCACAAGATAAATACAGAGCGTTTTTGTATAGATGTGTGCCCTCACACAAAGACAGTACTCGCCGTTCCGCTGCTATTGGCGTCGTGACGTCAGAGCCCCTCCCCTACGCGTTGCGCCACAGGGTCACGTGGCTTCCTCAGGGGGATGTTTTCTTTCTTTTTTTTTTAGGCTCTTTTCTTTTTCACCTGATGATTCTGCCAGACAGCCTCTTTTTTAACAGAACAAACTCTCCTGTAGACGGAGCTGCCAGTCTCCTCTGCTCACCGCACCAGTCACCTGTTACACTTCTATGCGCGCGCGCGCACAGCAGCTGGGGAGACGGGCGCTGTGTAACAGGTGACTGGTGCGGTGAGCAGAGGAGACTGGCAGCTCCGTCTACAGGAGTTTGTTCTGTTAAAAAAGAGGCTGTCTGGCAGAATCATCAGGTGAAAAAAGAAAAGAGCCTAAAAAAAAAAGAAAGAAAACATCCCCCTGAGGAAGCCACGTGACCCTGTGGCGCAACGCGTAGGGGAGGGGCTCTGACGTCACGACGCCAATAGCAGCGGAACGGCGAGTACTGTCTTTGTGTGAGGGCACACATCTATACAAAAACGCTCTGTATTTATCTTGTGGAATGTGAGTTCGCATTTGTCTGGAAACGCATTAAACCCCTTTATAAAGGATAAAACACCATGTGGATATCTTTTTCTTCTATGGCCTAAACCGGAGGAATACAGGGGAGGAAGAGGTAATAGGAAATAGACCCCGGACAACACGAGGGGAGATATCTATATCCATCCATCCAGCCCTCATAACCCAGAAGGAATTGGGAGGCCATCTAGTGGAAGGAAAGTAGAACCACAGACTACCTCAATAATAATATACTTTCCATATATTTGCACAAATTAATTGGGACTATCACATGTCATTTAAAGCCAAAGGATAAGTAATACACAGCTGACACCACTATCCTTTGTTGCAATAAGTGAAGTATTGTTTGCACAGTTTTCCATCATTATTTACTGTTTATTTTTATTGTTATTTATTTTTTATATATCAATTTGATTATTACACTCCATTATATATAAAATTTATCTTACATTAGTGTTTTGGGGCAACATTTGCAAATTTGCACATATTTATTTTTGCACACATATACATCACGGTGCAAGGAGGGTTTCTTTGCACATTTTTTATGTTATACAAATTAATTTTATGTACAATATAAAAAAAATTTTTTAATCACAATTCAATTAATTACAGCACTGGGAGTTTTTAATATATATTATATCACAATGTATTAATATTTATGTAATATTTATTTAGATTTATTTATTTTATATATATCACATATTTCTAAGTAAACATTCACTTTGAGGAGCGCGACACATCCAATTGCGCGGTCATGCAACACTGTACCCATATGAAATTATCATTTTTTTTCATACAAATAGAGCTTTCTTTTGGTGGTATTTACTCGCTGCTGGGTGTTTCTTGTTTGTGCAATAAAACAAAAAAAGAGCAAAAATTTTGAAAAAAAAAAAGTTTTTTCTTTGTTTCTATTATAAAATTTTGCAAACAGGTAATTTTTTCTCCTTCATTGATGTCCGTTGATGAGGCTGCAGTGATAGGCGGCACTGGTGAGTGGCACTGGCGTGCGGCACTGCTGGGCACTGATCATCGGTGCCGATCCGTCCTCTGACAATTTCCGGTTATCGGCAGTACTTTCCTCATGCTGTGACAGTGTGAGGAAAGTGCAGTCAATAACCAGTAACTGCATTTACCATTGATCTGTTGTGTCATTGGGCATGGCTGATCACGGGATAAAAGGCCGCTGTGATTGTCCTCTTACCGTATGACGTGAACAGCTGTGTCCGTAGGATACAGCAATCACGGAGATCGCCGGGTGAGCTGATAACATCTGTGCTTTCTGCCTCTTCGTGTACTACACCTCCTTCCCCAATTTATTTTGATAAGGGCGAGTTCTGTAGTCCAAACACACCCTTTTTTTTCTTGGAGTAACAATGCTGCATAGATACAATACAATCAGTAAGCGTTGTCAGGAAAAGTGTTACAGGAAGGCTCACCAGGTGGAAATAAAGGAAAGCCTGAAAAAAAAAAGAAAACAAATGCAGACACCACATCTAAGGATTGGTAAGCTGCAGTGTATTGGTTATTAGTTTTTTAAATTTGAATGCACTTTGAAGTAACACTTGCACTGTTCTGCACTTGCAGTTTTCCTCACATTCCGGATGATCATTTAGTGAAATCCTGTGTGGTTGGAAATATATTTCTTTGTATTTATGCTGAGAAAGAAAGCATGCGCATATTCAGGAATTTTACATGGAAATGTATACTACCACCAAGAATGAAAGTATAAAGGAAAGCAGTACATATATTGGACACATTCACCAATGTAGGGCTTCTGTTGTCCACCAAGATATAGCACATATATATTAGGCTGACAAGTTTCCTCCTCCCCTTCTTTTTTTTTTTTTTCTTCTTTTTTTTTTTTGTTTTTTTTTTCTCATTCATTGAGGAACACAGAAAGTGGTGTACTGTAGATAATATACAAAAAAGTGCAGCGCTTGCACTTTTTTGTGTATTCTCTATGTTCTAGGGTGCTATTGGTTACCTTTTTTGTGCATAGCAGCTTTCCTGTTTTATTTAAGGCACTTGTATCTCTTTTGTTTTATATTTCTGTGGTATACTGTAGAGTTGTACTGGAGAATTCATAATCTGAAGGGAAGGCGCTGGAGCGCTCTTGTGGCCTCTGCTGTTAGAGTCGGCAAGCATCTGTGCTCTATGGCATATAAAGTACTGTACGGCAGTGAAATCCTCCATTTATATAGCAGAGAAGGTGATCAGAGATAGGGAAGACTCCTAAGGTGGCAGTAAACCCAACAGTATATGACTTCCTGCGACCCTCATGGGCTTCAAGAGAAGGATTTTACGAAGAGTATAACATTTCTATTTTTGTGTCCCTTGGCTGTGTGTTGGACTTCTTACTATCTAGCTGTCATGACTTGGCTGTGCCCCACTAAGGATACAACAGTGATGTCACCCCCTAGCACCTTCTGATGTCTGCTTGGCCCCCACATCAATCTACACAAGTGGACATTTTCATTGGCAAAAAAGTAACCAACTCATAAATGCAGCCTACCTCCAATAGTTTTTCTGCATTATGGAATGATCTAAAGTGTTACTGGTAGACTTCCTTGATCTACTTATGGCTTTGGGGGAACCTGGAAGCATACAAATCAGTGGCAGTTCCTGGTCTGTAATGACCAGAGCAATGGATTGTGAGCGTATATATTAACATTCTTTTTAAGTATGTTATTGCTGAGCTCTCAAGTATTGTATTTTTTCACATTCAGGCCTGCAAACAGGAGAAAGCCAGAGCCCACCCCAGCTCCAGAGTCCAACGAAGCACGCACAAAGTTTGCCAGCGCCAAAGCCATCTCCTCAGACATGTTCTTTGGCAGAGAGCAGGATGCTGAGGTAAGTGCACTATACTCTAGTACATAACTCGCCTAAGGACTACATGATGCTGTCATGCAAACTGCTTAGAGCGGCTTTCCTGAGCTTTTACCGTAACTGTCGACTCCAGTTTCAGGCATAGATCATGGTGGGAGTGCTGGCTGTCACTTTAAAGAAGCTATCACACTTTGAATGACAAATGCGCGGCCGTGCAACATTGTACCCATATGAATTTTTTAGCATTTTTTTTAGACAGATAAAACTTTATTTTGGTGGTATTTATTCACCACTGGGATTTTTATTTTTTTTACTATATAAATAAAAAATCAAAAAATTTTGAAAAAAAAAAAGTGTTTTTCATACAAAATTTTGCAAATAATCTTTCTTCATAAATCTTGGCCAAAATTTATTCAGCTATCTTTTTATTAAAAAAATAACCCAAATTAATTTATAATCAAAAATTATAATTTTTTAAAAACATTTTTTTTTATGTTTTTTTGTTATTTAAGGTTTTTATTTATTATACGGTCTCCCTAGCAGTAGTAGTGTCATCATAGCAACACTGTACTACTTGTGGGGGGTGATGCAGATTTTTCTTTTTTTTTTTTTTTTTTTCTTTTTTACACTGATTGCTTTTACAGCCTTTATGGGTGTAAAAGCAATCATTTCTTCTCCTTCTCTCTGGCTGCATTCTTGCAGCCATTGAGAAATACTGTGAGAGCTGTGATAGGTCACAGCTTGTCACATGGTACAAGGCTGTTGTAAATAGCCTTGTGTAGCATGTGACCTCTGTGATCATTCACAGATTCACAAGTAGTCAATGATGTCAGGAAGTGACCTCTTGTTTACTACTATTCATGTGATCTCACTGATTGGCCTATCAGTGATCACATGAATCAGGAACCTCACAGCAGAGGTCCAACGTACAGCGATCGGTGTTTGTGTCCTCCAGACACAGCAGGGCATGATCGCGTTGCAGCGCGCTCCCAGGGAGTGCGCACAGGCTAAAATTGCGGGGCACCATATGAACAGCAACCCGCTCATTAATAACAAAAAATAACCCAAAATTAGTCTATAACAAAAAATTATAATTTTTCAAACATTTATATTTTAGCATTTTTTTTATATTATTTATGTGTTTTTTTGGGTTTTTTTTTTTTTACTATATTGTCCATAGTGACACTGTGAAAACTTGTGGGGGGTGATGAAGATTTTTTTTTTTTTTACACTTTTTTTACACCACTGATTGCTTTTATTACCCATATTAGGCTTTATAAGCAATCATTTTCTTTGGCTGCATTTTTGCAGCCATTGAGAAATACTGTGAGAGTGTGATTGGTCACAGCTTGTGTCACATGGTACAAGGCTGTTGTGCATAGCCTTGTGCCATGTGACCTCTGTGATCATTCACAAATTTCACATGTAGTAAGCAATGATGGGCTCCTGTCTAAAATTGTCCTAGTTTCATCCCTGGCCACGCAGGATCTCCTGCATGGTAGGGGTTTGGGAAAGACCTGGCAACCTACAATGTAAAATAATTGCTAAGAGAATTCATGGAAAAAGTGCTTACAAGTGACGGTCCATGCAATCGCCAAGGGTCGGATACGACTGAATGGATCCAGAGAGAGAAGAAGCAATGATATCCGAAGTGACATCTTGCTTACTACTATTCATGTGATCACTGATTGGCCAATCAGTGATCACATGATCGGGACCTCACACAGAGGTCCCATACAGCGATCGGTGTGTGTCAGGCACAGCGGGCCGTGCACTTGTGCTGCGCGCTCCCAGGGAGCGTGCACAGGTAAAATGGCGGGCGCCGTTTATGAACGGCAACCCGCTCCTGCACTGCTCCCGTCCAGCCATTTATATACATGGGCCGGACGGGAAGTGGTTAAAGTGATGTGGTATCAGAGGTAGTTCCCTTACTTACACCCCATCACTGTAAATGATACAAGAGTTTCTGCTGGAAAGTCAGGCAATGGCATTCAGCAGAGAATAAAACCCAGGGAGCGCGCACAGGCAATAAATGCGGGGTGACGTTTAGAAACGTCAACCCTGCTTCGGCAGCGCTCCCGTCCGGCCGTTTATTTACATGGGCCGGACCAGAAGTGGTTAATTAGTATATAATTATACAATAATAAAATCATGAACTTACAATGTTAAAGTCCCAGAATAGCATAATATATCTCTTTGCTTTTCCTTATATCTCAACACTTCAACTTTTTAGTTAATATCTGAAAACAATAATAAAGTGGACAACCTGTATTACTTTTCTTTACATAACCTAATCCAACACATGGTGCAATAGAGAATTATGGTGCGCCAATATCGCTATGATTGAATAGAGAATATGGTACTCGCTATGATGAGACGTACTGCATAAGCTGTTTGCTATAAAATATACCACGTGATCAAACAATTTGTATAATATCAAATGTAATACCTGATCGGCCTCTTCAATTGTATTGCCTTGCGGGCCCTCCCCCAATGCGCTCCCTCTCGTGGAGCTTGGAAATCACTTCCACCCACCTGTGGTTGATCATCCAGCCCCCTGCAGCGTGTAGGCATCTGTAATAGTGGTGCCTCCGCATCTGTAATAGCAGAACATCTTTGTTGCTGCACCTCTGTTCTCCAAGCATACATTTTATTTTTAAAATTGATAGAATTAATTTAAATGAGTCGTCCAAAATTGCCGTAAAATGCAACAAATACTGTATAAACTAACTCTAAATTGAACCAAAAGTGAGGATTTACTTATGTACCTACAAACAGAACCATGTCTAGATTAAAAAAAAAGTCATTATTATTGAAAAAAAAATAAAGCGGGTCACAGATCATGTTTTCTTTCTTCCATGGTTAGAAGGAAAGAAAATAGCTTGATTCCAAACACAGGCAGTGTTCCCTCCTGCAATGTGTTCTGCCGGTAGGGAGCCTTCCTGCTGGCAGAACACAAAAATGAGTATTGTCGGCACTAATGGTTTGGGGGGAAAAACTCTACTGGCTGATTGTACACAACCAGGGTGCCCATACATGGATGGAATTTTCTTTCCTTCTGCCATGGGCTGATTTCCAATCCATGTATGGCTGGCTTAAAACTGCAACCTTATAACTCTGCTTGAGGTTAAACCGTTTAATTCAAAAACTTTTCTAGATAAATGTGCATGTAAATAGTTTGACCAGTGTAAAACCTCCTAGAACTGTCCTGCAGCATAACGTTTTCATGAAAGTGTGGCGTGCTCTTATATTAAAGCTTTGCTACTCTCGCTATTATCATCTCACCTCTTGATAAAATAAATAAGTGACCCAAAACAAGTAGGCCATAGTCCATGGGCCACCCTGGAATTTACACCTTTAAAAGCAAGTTGGCACTGAAAGATTGCCATGTTTCTGTAAAGACTCCTTTACCATGACTTAGAATTCAGGGGTGTCAAACTGGCAACCCTCCAGCTGTTGTGAAACTACGAGACCCATCATGCCTCTGCCTTTGGGAGTCATGCTTGTAACTGTCAATCTTGCAATGCCTCATGGGACTTGTAGTTTGGCAACAGTTGGAGTGCCGCCAGTTTGACACCCGTGACTTGATTGATGATTATTATTCAGATCCTGCATTGCTGATCTAGCATTGTTCATACCACACGCACAGCTGGTTGAAAAATCCAGCAGGGGGCACATGGCCACATCTGTTTGCTTGAGGCTTTCATAGGAGACAGAGCTAGAGACAAGTGTAACAAGAAGCTAGTGGGGAACATTCTTTGGCAGTAAACTTTAGTTTTTTTTGTTTTTCTTAGGAAGTGCATTCTGAAAACACACATTGCAATGAGTAACCAAATTGTAGTTTTGCTGATCTTGCTGCCGGTAGTTGTTGAGGACTTATCAGAGATGTAGGCATGATCTAATCATCTTGTGGCAACTCTGACAGCCGGCCTGCACATCAACATAAACACAGTGATCCAAGTATTCCTGGTACCAACCTTCACCCTGAACCGTTAAAGCCAATCTGCAGGCAAGTGTTAGCTCCCGCCCATCCTCAAACTTGTTTAAAGGAGAAGTACAGCCAAAGTTCTTTTGGCTTTACTTCTGTGGATCACAGGAGTGCACTTTGTTCTGCACTCCTGTGACCCATTTTCAGCTGACAGCGGGCTGAAGTCACTCAAGTGGTTCAGGCTGGGGAAAGATCCCAACTTCAAAGTCTGGATCCACCCTAGAGTCTGGAGTGGCACCTAGCTCCCTCTCCCTTCACAGCCCAGCACTCCTGTAAGCATGGGCAGAATAGAGAGCAGTGACTAACAGTCACCGCTCCCTGCTAAGAGCTGCTGTCAGAACTCAGCGACCAGTAGTCATGTGATCATTGAGTTCTCACCCTTAGAGCCGGTGCGGGACAGATACAGCAGCAGACCGATGCTGCATACACCTAGGTAAGAATGATTGGGCAAAAAAAAAAAAATCCCACACTTTACTCGCCTAAATCCTATAATTTTCTGACCCTCCATGGCTGCTTTTACAGAAGAGAAAATGAGTACTCTACTGCTGCAGTCCAGGCGCTCGGGAAACCAGTCCCTGTGTAGTGTACCTAGAGGGGATTTAGGTGTATTGTTTGTGGTGAAGGGGTGTCACCCTGGCCATTTATTTAAAGTAAAAGTATTGTGTGTTTTCAGCAAATGCCATTCCTTTTCCCCTTTTTAATATTTGTGGCTTTCACTTTTTTCATACTTTTTCCACATTTTTGTTTCAGTAATAAAAGGAGATATAGTATAGAGCAGTCTTACACAACCTTTTTACCCCAGATGAACCCTTGAAATAATTTTCAGGTCTTTGGCTCTGTGGAAACAATTCCCCAATACAGTGGTGATCAATGGAAAGAATAAGAATGGAAAGGCAGCACAGTGGCTAAATGGTTAGCACTTCCGCCTGGCAGTACTAGGCTCATTGGTTCGAATCCCAACCACGGCACCACCTGCCTGGAGTTTGCATGTTCTCCCTGTGCCTCTGTGGGTTTCCTCTGGGTACTCTTGTTTCCTCCCACACTCCAAAGACATGCTGGTAGGTGAATTGGCTCCTGTCTAAATTGGCCCTAGTATGTGTATGTATGAATGTGAGTTAGGGACCTTAGATTGTATGCCCCTTGAGGGTTAGGGACTGATGTGAATGTACAATATATATGTAAAGTGCTGCGTAAATTGACGGCGCTATATAAGTACCTGAAATAAATAATAAATACTCTCTTTACGGTGGTGGTCAGAATGCCACCCTTACAGACAGCTAAAAGATTACTTGTGTCCTGCTGCTGGCTCTGTCAAATGGCATTGGACCTGGAACAATGAAGGAAGGTCAATTAGCTACAGCTCAAGGAACCCTAGAAATCTCTGGAGGAACCCTGCTCAAGAATGGATGTAGTATTAAAAGTAGGGTATTTTTGTAGATTTTGTAGACTGGAAACTACTAACTACTATAATGGGGCTGCTTAACCACTTACCTACTGGGCACTTATACCCCCTTCCTGCCCAGGCCAATTTTCAGCACTGTCAAACTTTGAAATGACAATTGCGCGGTCATGCAGCACTGTTCCCATATGAAATTATCCCTTTTTTCAGACAAAGCTTTCTTTTGGTGGTATTTAACCGCCACTGGGTGTTTTTTATTTTTTGCACTATCAACAAAAAAAGAGAAAAAAAAGTTGAAAAATTTCCTTGACTGATGTGCGTTGATGAGGCAGCACTGATGGGCACTGCTGGGCGGCACAGGTGGGTGGCACTGATGGGCACAGGTGGGCAGCACTGCTGGGCCCTGATCATCAGTGCCGATCACTTCTCTGACAATTTCTGGTTATCAGCAGTACTTTCCTCTTGCTGGGACATCGTGAGGAAAGTCGATAACCGGTAACTGTATTTACCCGGTGATCTGTATCATTGGACACAGCTGATCACATGGTAAAAGGATGCTGTGATTGGCCGTTTACCATATCACGTGATCAGCTGTGTCCGTACGGACACAGCAATCATTGGCAGCGCTGGGGGCGTGCTCTGAAATGACGTCCATGGACGTCATCCCAGAACTAGACAACCGCGCTGTAGCCGTCTTTCGGCTATAGCGTGGTAGGGAAGAGGCTAAAGGATAAGTTCACCTTTTACAGAAACTAGCCCATGCAGACAAGTGGCCAGTAGTTTTAAATTCACGGTGCGGTTTGTTAATAATGGTCAGCTGCAGATGCCATAGGTAGAGGCAGTTCCTGTTTCTTATGCAGTCTGGTCAAAATGCTTTTTTTTTATTATTATTATTACATCGAGTTTATATAACGCCAAAGGGTTTGCTCAGCGCTGTACAATAGAGGGGGGGACAATACATGAAACAGTACAGCAACAACAAACAGCACACAAGGGGTTAGAGGGCCCTACTCTTTCCAGCTTACAAT